CACACATTACTATTGTACTTCACACATTCCTAGTACTGCCATCAGAGGTATGCATATTCTCCTTGAGTACACCCAGTCCAGATTCTGTATACCATACTTTAGAAACCACTGTCTATTTTATTTATTTATTTCAGGTACTTATATAGCGCCGTCAATTTACGCAGCACTTTACATATATATTATACATTCACATCAGTCCCTAAACCTCAAGGGTTGTACAATCTAAGGTCCCTAACTCACATTCATATACAAGGGCCAATTTAGACAGGATCCAATTAACCTACCAGCATGTCTTTGGAGTGTGGGAGGAAACCGGGGTACCCGGAGGAAACCCACGCAGGCACAGAACATGCAAACTCCAGGCAGGAGGTGCCATGGCTGGCATTCGAACCAACGACCCTAGTGCTGCCAGGCGGAAGTGCTAACCATTTAACCACTGTGCTGCCCATGATAAACAGCCAGATGATATCTAGTTTTCGCTAACCTAGCCTGAGAAATTGCCTGCTATGACTAAAGCTGCCATACACAGTAAAACGTGAGAGAGGATCCTTTCATACTCCTCTATTCACAGAAAGAGTAGCATTCCTGCAGGACTGGAAGGGATAGCCATCGGGTCTGCTTCAATGTACCTCAATAATTGACTGAGATAATTACCCCTTACAGAGCTATAGAGAGGACCTGTAATCCCTGGAGAGATTCTTACACTAAGGAGCAATACAGGATATGGGATACACTTCATTACAGTTATGTGACTGAAGCTGTAGCCCAAATAAATAAATAATAACTACACTTTAGTTTCTAAGTGGCCAGTTGAGAAGCACCCAGTGGTAATGTAGTCTAACGTTTTTGGGTGAAGAATATTTGGATGTGTATTTGCTAATAGTGGTGCATACCATTGAAAATACACACACTACAAAACTAGCACGACTCAAGAGTTATTATAGGAAGGAAGGTTCCCTTCACCGGGATAAAAGGAATCAATTGTATTGCTTAAATAAATGGACTATGTGAATTTTTACAATACGTTTTTCCAATTGCCAGACAACACTGGTCTGTAGATGGGGATAAGCAGGAAATCAGATGACCTGCCAGAGTTATTGACATGATTCAGTGACAGGCACTTAACCATCCTCGAAACACAGAATTCTGTAAGACTTGCGTCTATATCAATTTGTTGGTAATAAAAATGATGGCTGCTTGTATACACTTGTCTCTGTCTGTTAACTTTATTTCCTATTACATCCTGTGCAGAGCTGTGTACAGATAACATGCTGCCCTAGAGACAATGAATAATGGCATCCTTCTGTACAGGCACGGCCCCTTATTACAAAACAAGTAACTTTACAGTTAGTGGGAAAATTAAACTTGTACAAAGAAATTTGTAGACTGCAATTGCTGACCTCCTTAAAATGAACCTAAGTTTCAGCAGCTAAGATTTCCTGTTTTAGGGAACATATAGAAAAGTAAATTGTGCCTAAGCAGCAGCCTAAAAATGTACTTTTGCTTGAATTCCTCTGAAAAATAGCCATGCCCTTCCTGGTATGCGCGGGTGCCTAGGCACCCCTGTGCATACACACTTCACCTCTTCCCCAGCACATTGCAGTGCGGGACCAGCACCCCTGTGCAACCCTTGCAGAACCCTTGCGTGCGGGAGGGCAGCCTAGGCACCCCTGTGCATACACCCTTCACCTCTTCCCCAGACATAAGCACTGAACCCTTGCAGTGCGGGAGGGCAGCCTAGGCACCTCTGTGCATACACCCTTCACCTCCTCAGACCACTGAGCAGTGCGGGATAAGCCTAGGCACCCCTGATACACCCTTCTTCCTCAGACATAAGCACTGAACCCTTGCAGTGCGGGAGGGCAGCCTAGGCACCCCTGTGCATACACCCTTCACCTCTTCCTCAGACATAAGCACTGAACCCTTGCAGTGCGGGAGGGCAGACTGAAAAGGGCACATTTTTTTTTTAATTTTCCTGGAGTTGGGCTTTTAGAGAAGTCAGTGTTTGATACAGTGACCTTGTATGAGGAAGGGGAGACAAACTGCTGCAGAAATCTCAAAGCAGCAGTATACAAAATGTATAAGAAGTTGGAGATTAAAGTGACTGTAAACCCTCACCTTGTAAAACAATCCATATAGTTTAAAATAGAAATGAAAGGTAAACATTTGTGTATAGATAAATAAAAAATTTTTATAAATACCTTCTTTCTCTTTTTTATAAGTGATCAAATATCCTCTGCTTTCAGTTGCAAAAGAGCTGGGGGAGGAGAAACAGCAGCACACTAGTTTTCTTACTGAACGGCTGTGCGGCTGGTGGCACAGCTAGAGAACTGACCACGCTTTGCTCTCATACCTAGTGTGGTCATTTTTTATTAGAAAAGTAGAGAGACTGGCAGGTAAACCAGAGATTAGACAGCAGTACAAAGAGAACAAGATAATTTTTCATACAAGTACATGGTACAGCAGGCACATATCAGGAATATGGAATGTTGTGTTTACATATTCTTTAACCAGTTCCCCGCAGGCACCTGGCGATTGCCAAGAAACAGGGACAGGGGAGAGACCTTGTGTGTAAACACAAGTTTTAGAAAATCTACCCCAATGTGTTCTATGGCATAAGACATAAGTGTTATCTACACAATACACCCACACCGGTCCATTACACATTCAGCAGCTCAGTCAGACCAAGGAAAACAAGATTTCTGAGTGGCTCCTGTGGGCTCCTGCATTCACCTTTATTGTAATCTATATCTCTAAGCTTTAGCTGATCTTCTAAAGCCATAATAAACAGATGATTTCAAAACAAGCTGTTGTGTTAAACGCCCTAAAAGAATTGTAATGTACCTCTTTTTAATAGATAATGCCAGACCGTGCCAGTTTTAAAGGCTGCAGGTAAAGCAGGGGCAGACTGACAACTCATGGGGCCCCCGGGCAATAGGGGATCATGGGGCCCGTGTTCTTGCCCAAACTCAAAAAAGCCTATGAAAAAGGTACCAGGGGCATCTCATGGGGCCCCCTACTGACCCCGGGCCCTCAGGCAGTGCCCGAGTTTCCAAATGGTCAGTCCACCCCTGAGGTGAAGTTACTCATGTCTTTTCACTTCTAGGGCTATCATCAGTGCCAACATCAACAGCAGCAAAGGTGACAACACTGTAGTTATTTCACTGCAGAAAGAATGGCCAAAAATGGGCACAAACCTTTGGGACCACTTTCGTGGGATTGCGGCCGCCCCCCACCCCTCCCCTCTCAAATGGGCTTGTTTAAAGTTGTAAATGGTGGGTTTGTCATGTGTGGGGAAATTTGCTGTTGGCCCCTTTAAAATTTGTTAAGCAGAATTCCAGGGATCCAATTGGGAGTCTTGGAAGTTTCTGGAGCATTGACGGACAAGATATAAGGGGCACCTGGATCGTTTGGGATTAGTGGCCAGCCGGCAAGCAGAAGAGCCCCCCCCCCATCTTTTGTGTGGTGCTTTCACACTGGAGTCAGGGGGGATGTTTTCAGAGTTCAGATGTTGTATGTGATGGCCCGAGTTCCAATAACGGAGCCAGAAGTGGGTGATTTAATATATTTTGCATGTTGAATCTCATCAACGGTTATTGTAGTATCTATTTGGTTAATTTATGTAACACCAATAAAGTGCTGCGGCCATTTCTCGCCACGATCTGCCTAATGGTTTCTTTTCTTTAATTTGTGCAAAGTTCTGGTTGCAGGGGGGGGGGGGGGCAGTCTGCAATCCCAGAGCACTGTTGCTCTATAGTGAATATCTAATGCTTCTACTGGCAGGATTAAAAACATTTCCAAACCATTCCACGGAGTACTTAAAAAACAAAGAATCAGGGCTAAATATGATGGGCAGCCTACAGCCTCCTGCACACTGATGCCTAAAAACTAGGGGTTTTTTTTTAATCGGCGAGTAGGAGTACCGATATTTGTACTCAAGTACTCACCAATACCAATTACCGATACCTTTGTGGTGCGATTTGAGCCCACAAAAAAAGGAATGGGCTCAAATCGCACTGCAAAGAATCACATGTGATTCGAACAGGAGTGTGGGTGCGATTCCTGTCTGAATTACATGCCATTTCCCTGTGGGTGAGATGCGATTTGAGCCATTCATGTTGCATAGCTCAAATCGCACCGCACTTGCAGGGAAACTGCATGTGATTTGGACAGGAATTGCACGGTATTCCTGTTCAAATCACGTGATTCTTTGCAATGCGATTTGCGCCCATTCATTTTGGGCTCAAATCGCACCACAAAGGTATCGGTTTTAGGTATTGGAGCATTTGCATGAGTACTCAGTATTGTCACCAGAATCAGTGCAACTCTACTAAAAAAAGCAACATTTTTAGGCATAAAGGCATTTAGTTTTACTCACATAAATGCAGCCGATTGTTTTTAATGTGCCTGTACACACAGACGCATAAACATGTGCTGTGTATAGATCAGTATCAAAAAAAATTTGCATTTCTGGACAGTATTTTACGTGTATACACATGTATACAAGCAAATACGGCACATCCCAACAAAAGCTAGAATGTTTAACCACTGCCTTCCGGGCACTTATACCCCCTTCCTGCCCAGGCCAATTTCCAGCTTTCCTTGCTGTTGCACTTTGAATGACAATTGCGCGGTCATGCAACACTGTACCCATATGAAGTTTTTATCATTTTTTTGTGACAGAGCTTTATTTTGGTGGTATTTAATCACCTCTGGGTTTTTTTTTTTTTTTTAAAACCAAAAACCACTAAAAAAAATTTGAAAAAAAATATTTTTTTTCTTAGTTTTTGTTATACAATTTTGTAAATAAGTGATTTTTCTCCTTCACTGATGTGCGCTAATGATGCTGCAGTGATGGGCACTGATGGACACTGATAGGTGGCACTGATGAGGAGACACTGGTAGGTGGCACTGATGGGCATTGACAGGCATCACTGATGGGCACTGATAGGCAGCATTGACTGGCACTGAAAGGCGGCACTGACTGGCACTGTTAGGCACACTGACTAGCAACTGATAGGCAGCACTGATGCGCATGATAGGCAGCACTGATTGGCATTGATAAGGTGGCACTGACTGGCACTGATGGGTGACACTGAAAGGCAGCTCAGATGGGCACTGATATGTGGCATTGATGTGCACTGGTAGGCACTGATATGTGGCATAGATGTGGCACTGATGGGCACTGGCACAAGCCACTGATGAGCACTGACAGGTGGCACTGCTGGGACTACATTGATCATCAGGGCACACTGATCATCAGTGCTCTGATGATCAGTGTACATGTCCCCTCCGCGGAAAGCCGATTACCGGCTCTCCTCTCCTCTCGAGCTGTCAGAGTGACAGTTCGAGAGGAGAGAAATGCCGATAACCGGAACTTCCTTGTTTACATGTGAGCAGCTGTGATTGGACACTGCTGATCACATGACTGAGCTGACATCTTCGGCTCTTTCCGTGATCGGTGATCCGCTGTGTCCGAGGGACACAGCGCACCGCCGCGCTGCTCGCTCCCTGAGCTGCGCATGCACGGTAGAATGGGAGGACATCATATGACGTCCTCCCAGAACGAGAGTACCACCTTGCGTCTGTCATATTACTAAACATGCAAATGCATGTATTTACTACACTGTCCATCCTTGTGTTTTTTTATACAGGAATTTTCTAACAGAAATTTGATGTTCGTGCATCAGTACAGTGTTGAAGTACCCTAAATAACCAATGCGATCTCATAGTCTGACCATAGTTCTACTTTAAATAGCATCCCATGCGTTTTTCTGCACACCTTGACAAAGCCTAGCCAGTGTCTTCAATAAAATACAAATAATGTAAAAGACTCCATTTGGTTTTATAATCCAGAACTATGTAAAGTACAAATGGCTGATTAAGCATGAAGCAATTTGGCCATAAGGATTTACAGGCTCTATAAAAAGGGTCATGCTTGAGGTTGTAAATATTTCAAATGTAAATAGCAATGTTGCATAACCATGTCGTTTTTCTATTATATCTTAGGCAGCCATTTCCGCAGGAAATACAAAATGCCAAGCCAGTGAAAGTTGTAGGATTCTTATGTGGTTTAGTGGTTTGCCAAGATAAGTGGCACTACATGGCTGGCTCATGTTATAAAAAGATGAATTCCACAAGTGCAGAAGTATAAACATAAGACCATGAGTATGCATGCCAAAGAACAGAATACAAACAGAAAATCCTCGCAATGAAAAATACTGCATCTCCAACATCCTGTGTTCATAAGAGTGTCATATACCGGGAACCAAAATATCAGACCATCTGTTCAAAAGCAGCTGCCTATTTCCAGAAAATTTCAGACTGCAAACATACACAAGGGGAAAAAAAAAAAAACATCCTTTTTAAAAAATAACATGAACAAAGGATAAAAGTGCCATTGATGTTAATGAGTTTTACTGGCCATTTTATACTGACCTACAGTTCAGAGAAAATTCCCAATAAATACACATCTCTGGATCAAGACCCAGGCAGGCTTTTTTAACTGCAGCAAAAGTGGAGCTGAAAGTTCTCACAGCTAAAGGATCATCACTAATTACCACAGGGAAATACCCCGTACACGCGGTAAGAAAATAGTACGAAAAATTTTGCAGAAGCACTGATCGAACGATTTTCTCTTCGTTGATGAGCAGGATGTTTTAACCGATAACGATATTGTGTACGAAAAAATTCGGTTAAACAACAGTGAAAAATGTTGTCATTTCGCATACGAATGACCGATTTTCTATGTGGTGGTATGACGGTCGTACGGAAAAAAAAAAATCTATCAAGCGCTATCACGCATGAGTGGAAACAGAAGATGACCCAGATGTTTATGTCCACGGAATCTTTGTAAACACGAACCAAAAATCCAAATGTTAAAAGTAGATTGGCCTAATGAGATAATGAAACCAGAATTCTGCAGATTATATTTTATGTATCACTGTTTATGTATATAGATAATGTAATAAACAATATTATACTCATTGCTGGTAATTGTTGTGTATATCGCTCGCTCTGGCCGGAAGGGCGTGGCTACAAGGTCACACGCACGCACACTGCATCACTTCCACTTGTACGGAAGATGTCAACACTACATATTGCCCAACAAACGATTTTTTTAGATTGGTTAATGTAGGCCACGATTTCGACCAACAAACGCACTCCTCTCAGTTGTCGGATGACCTATCGGTCGATATTTCTAATCGCGTATTCCCACCTTAAGTCCTCACACACTTGACTTTTTGATAACGCTTGTAACATTAGCTGTGTAAAGTCACATCAAAAACAGGAGTTTTTCAGCTTATTTTAGCGTTTTTTGCATTATCGTTTAGCGGAGGTTTTCTGCGTTTGCGGTTTTTAGCAGTTTTATTAACCAGAAAAAAAAAATAATAGTTTTTTGGCAGGGACTTTTTTTGGCTGGAAAAAAAAAAACCCCAGGACTAGTGGGTTTCTAGAGGAGTTTTTACGCTAAAAAACGCGACAAAACGTGGTAAAAAAGCCACAAACCAGCGTTTTTGGACTTTTTTTTACCAGTGAAAAAAACGTTAACAACCGCAAACGTGGAAAAAAGGCAGGAAAACAACTCAACCCGCAAAACGCCACTAAACACTAATGCAAAAAAAAAATTTTAAAAATCTGAAAAACTCACATTTTTAACTTGACTTTACACAGCTAACATTACCAGAGTTATCAAAATGGCCAGTGTGCATGGAGCCTAAAAGTGTAAGCTGGAGTTTGGCTGCAATGTGTTAGTGTATTTAAATCTGCTAATACATCTAAAGACATGTCCTCCCCCCAGACTGACAATGCTGCTGTTGAAAGCTGCCCCCTGCGCTCCTTCATCCAGAGTACGGGCACTCTAATATAGAAAGTGTGCAACTGGCCAGATCACAAGGTTAAAACAGGAAAAAAAACAAAAGAAAACTAATGCAGCCACCACATCTAATGATTGGTAAGCTACAATATAATACATTTTAAGTTTTGGGTTTAATACCGTTTTAGCATCCTGCCCTGGTGAACATTGTTTGCACTAACAGGTATTCCATCACTGGAACAGTAGTAAAGGTGAAACATTGTACATCAGTGGTTCTCAACCTGTGGGTCGTGACCCCTTTGGGTAAAGAGCGCCTAAGCTCGGGAAAACACATATTTGCAATGTGTAAAGAGCAGCTACTGCGTAGAAAGCAGCTACTGTGTTAAAAGCAGCTACTGTGTTGAAAGCAGCAGTATTGGAGGTAAAATGACACTCATGAATTATGATTACTGGGTAAATAATTTTATGGTTGGGGGTCACCACAACATGAGGAACTGTATTAAAGGGTCGCGGCATTAGGAAGGTTGAGAACCACTGTTGTAAATGAAGACACCTGCTTTGCAGAGATTTCCTCTCATTTTCTGTTGTTCATGCTCCAGGACAGTAAGGAAGGGAAATCGACCTGATGGGACAGACCCCAGTAAAAAGCTCCCAGTAGTTCCAACTTATCTCAACTTCATATGAGAAAAAAGCTTGGATGGAGTTCCACTTTATGTTTCAGAATGAATGAAGCAGAGTCACCAGCCATGTCCTTATTGCTGCCTGTGACCCCAGCAGAACACTCCCTGCAAGACACATAGCTGGGTTCCTCTCCAGAATGCATCTTCCTATTGGTAACACACTACAGTCTGCTCATGAAGCTACAGCAAACTTACACACAGAAAACACTTGTTTCTATACAGTTAACAGATTTACAATGAAACATTTATTTCAGACATACAGAATTAACATACACACTGATAGGGAAGGGCTTGAACAATGCATTAACCACTTTACCTCCACAGGATCCACCCCCCATTCCTGACCAGGCCATTTTTTGCAATACGGCGCTGCGTTACTTTAACTGACAATTGCACGGTCATGCAACACTGCACCCAAATGAAATTTATGTCCTTTTTTCCCCACAAATGGTGCTTTCTTTCAGTGGTATTTGATCGCCTCTGCATTTTTAATTTTTTTCACTATAAACAAAAAAAGATAATTTTGAGGAAAAAAAAAATTTTTTTAACTTTTTCCTACAAAACATATCCAGTAAACAAATTGAAAAAAACTAATTTCATCATAAATTTAGGTAAAAATATATTCTGCTACATATCTTTGCTAAAAAAAAAAAATCCCAATATGTGTAACTTAATTGGTTTATGTGATAGTTATAGTGTCTAAAATGGCGGCATATATACACTGGAATTTGTTTTTTTTTTTATACTAGTAATGTCGGCGATCAGCGACTTGTAGCGGGACTGTGGCGGGCATTCTGACACTGGGGGGACTGACTGTCACTGACATCCCCAGTGACACTAATACAGTGATCAGTGCTAATAAAAAGCACTGACACTGTACTAATGACCCTGGGCAGGAAGGGGTTAACATCTGGGGTGATCAAAGGGTTAACTGTGTGCTGTTTAACTGTGTGTGCTGTGTTTTACAGTGTAAGCAAGCTGCTTTGTATTGCAGAGCAATACAAAGCAGCGTGCTGGAGCTGACGGGAGAGATCTATATTGTTTACATACACACCTCTCCCCCAACAGTGATACTCGGCGATCGCCGGGTGCCAGCAGAAAGTCTCCGGCCAGGACCCGGTGATCGACAGCTGAAGCCACCTGAAAATACAAAATCACACATACATATATATATATATGTGATTTTGTGCAGCCCTGCCGCCCTGTAGCAGTATTTCTGCTATAGGGCGGCGTGCAAGCGGTTAGTTATAATGTTGTTTACACTGATAGACCAGAAGATCTAAAACTACATATAACTACAGATGGGCTACAGGTGGAATGTTTAAGGAAGTGCAATATACATACAGTATGGTCTTGCCCATCCATAAACCAGTTTTACTATTGCGTTTTACCACATGCTGTAAAAAGCCAGCTTATAAAGCTCAGCAGCTCAAACTGAAATTATTATTATTATTATTATTATTATTATTATTATTATTATTAAATAAATACAAATGAAGTCATATCTGAAGAGGCAGGTAGAAAAGCAACAGGCAGATTGTGTAAATTCTAGAGCAGGGGCGGACTGACAACTCATGGGGCCCCCAGGCAATAGGGGATCATGGGGCCCCTGTGTCCTTGCCCAAACTCTAAAAAGCCTATGAAAAAGGTACCAGGGGCATCTCATGGGGCCCCCTACTGACCCCGGGCCCTCGGGCAGTGCCCGATGGGTCAGTCCCCCCTGTTCCAGAGTGATTTTTATTAGGAGTCCCAAAATTCAATGCTTTATGGGACTCAATATTCTAAAATTTTTGGTCTGTTTTTTATAGCCGTTATCTATATATTCAGACTGAATATTTATTGTAATGTTATATAATCTTTAACACTTTCATGACCAAGGTCAAAACAAACCTTAACATCCAGACCCAACTTTGCAACGGTCACATTTTTTCGGAAATATCACAAGATAATAAGTGGGTCAATTTATGACAGTAAAATATCGATTGTGAGGTAAATACCACAATGAAAATGAGATAAATAGATAATTAAAGTCAATTCACTA